AACATCCGGTCCTCTCTATGAGCAGGGCGACAATGGGCGAAAATCCAGTTGTTCGTGACAGACCATCCGTGACCCATTTTGAGCCGCTTTTAGACGAGGTTGCGCATAGTTAATTTCGTGTCAATTCAGCTAGTCATGACACTGTCACTGACCTCCGTCCGCCGATTCAGGTCAATCGTCTCCGCCTCATCGGCTAGCCAGAAAAATTCCTAGATCGTGACCGCTACTTTGCCAACCTCGACGAATTGAGTTAAAAGAGTCTCATGAAGTTTGTGTCCATGCTCACGTAGACGTTGCCATTAATGCAGGTGTCATAGTTTCCTCTACGGTGGCCAAGCGGAATGCACGGCAACGAAATAATTTCTTTATGGGCCAGCGCACCACTTCTAGGGCCCATCTTGAGCATAGAAAGCGCATTCAGCATATTTCCTCACATTTCCGTTAAGGCTGATTTTCCGTATATCTGTACAGTATGATTTACCTTCGGCAGTTTGCACAGTTCTGATAGCTTAACAGAGTTCAAAGTTCTACAAATCCAAGTGGAACGATGTTTTAAGGTACATGGTACGTGTTCTGAGTCCCATATTCAATGCATTGCAGGTTGGCTTAATTAAATGGTGCACCATCAGCGGCTGGCAAAAACGGTCAGTGCCCATATGCTGAGTATGCCGGGTATCATAAATTGAAATGTTGATAATAGGCGTTACCATAAAGTTATTATATGGCAACTATCACGCAACACCAGGGATATTTGGTCTTCATATTCGCTCAAGAAAAAAATTGATTGAAACACATTTTGGAATTTTGTATGTTCATTTTATGTATTACTTCCGTGGAATATTGTTCTTTCTTGATTAGAATGATTTTATTATGTGCTCATGCCACACGCAGACCTCGATATGTTAGCCGTCAAGAGATGTCACTTTAGATATGGTCCTTGCACTTAATATTATCATACTGCATCGATCGTCACACGGGGCATATTATTTCCCATTTGATGACCACATGAGCATAAATCATCTTCATAATCATCTTTCCTCAGCATAAATCAATTCCTATTAAATTTTACCATCCATTTAACGATCGAAAACATTGCAATAAGATTATGCTACACTGTTGACATCAATCTTCAAAATCAAAGCACCTATTCACTTAAACTATTGCCTTAAATTTGAAAAATATCTCAAATGCAATTATTTGAATTGTAATATTAACTTCCGCCATGTAATCGAGAATCGCGTAGCATTTCGTTTCTAAAACACGTCTAAAATGTTAATATCACAAATTTTAATACAATATATCTGAATTTATTGAACTTGTTGAAAACATGATTAATATGAAACTGCAAATGCTCCTTGTGACAAATTGTTTTAGAAGCATCTACTTTGTAATTTTAAAAAACAACAGGATTTCACATGTCACAGTATGTTAACAGACGCTTATAACGAGCACAAAGATCACTGGCGATGACAACGGTAATGCTGTAGCCAATTAAATGACGCGAAACGTATGTATCATCTCAAATACAATATAAGAGTGGCCTGCTCATGGGACTTCCCCTGAGCAGCTAAGAAAAACAAGTAGTGCAACATACCGCAAAACGTAGTTTTGGGAAGTGCATGTATTTTGACAAGTGTACGATACAAGCAAGGATATGCAAATAGTTATGGTTTTCGGTGTACTTTTGGATAATCAACGGGATAAAGTTACGGCATCTGAAAAGCCCTCACACCACCGCATGAGCAAAAATCTACCTTAAAGGAGATTTGTATAATCCCTGAATTATTCCCGCTTTTCAAAAATTGAGCATTAAACTAAGAGGGTATTATGAAATGACGGATGGGCAGACTCACAAAAGGCGCTAAATCTATTAACCAGCGATATACTACACAGGGTCCGAAATAGTAGTATACGGAAGAGCCTTGGAATACAGCCTTTGTTTCTACAGATTGAGAAGTCACAGCCGCGATGGCTTGGGCTTCTGTTGCGAATGCCTCCAGAAAGGAAGGCTAAGCAACTGTTCCTTGCAAATCCGACCGGGCAGAAGGCCCAGGGGACGGCCAAGATTAACCTGATGCAAACATATGCAAGGAGTCTGTTCCAGACTGCATTTGTCTTTTGCCGAAGCTCAAACTCTGGCACATGATGGGGAACGTTGGAAACTCTGTCTCTGATATGTCTGCCTCTGCGACCAGAAAGGAGAAGCGGCGATGGAAGATGAAGATATACTACACCACGTGAGGCTATGGCAAATTTTTGTGCTTAACAAGATTAAAAAGTCAGTTTTAGCGACCAGCCAAAAAAATACGAATCTGAAATCTGAAGAGAGTATCTGTCATGAAACAAAACGATACACAACTGACTATATAAATTTGTAATTTTAATTTTTGAGACGTCACATGAAGCTGTTCATCAAACAACACACTTCAGCAAAGGCAATGTTCTCACTGACCTGACAGATGGCCGGCACGCCAGAACAAAACTGGAGCAGAACATAACGCATTGAAAGTTAAGCAACGTGTGATTTACTTTCGGAAACAAAAGCAAAATAAAGACCAAATACTAATTACGCATTATTGAATAACCGAAATACTACTAAGCAAGTTGAACAACATTTAAGAGGTAGAGAGATTAAGTAGTGAGCGGCGAAAACTGGATTTATTTGATGAAACTGTGAAACGGAGCAGTAAATATAAAAGTAACTGATCAAAGAAAAAAACAGCGCTTCCGTTTCTTGGGTTTCTCTTTTTTCGCCGACGTATTCTGCTGTCCGAACTGTAAAGCTTTTCTTTGCTTGATTTCTCGCATCAGGTCGTAAAATACCTAAAATGATCATGACGTTTGCTTAAAGAGCGAACACGGAAAATCAGTCATAGGAAATTAGCCATTCATTCATTCAGTCAGTCAGTCAGTGAGATGAGTGAGTGAGTTAGATAACTTTGTTCGAACTTTCCTAGCTATGAAAACCAAGAGAAGAAGAGGAAAAATCCGGTGAACAGTGAAATCGAAAGTGCGACAGTCACCCTACAGCAATCGCAAATCCCCACAGTTTATACACCTTAACGACATCATTTTGAACGATGATCATTGAGAACTGCGCAACAAAACTTTGTCGAAAAGGAAGAATCAGACGCCACGAAAATCCGTCTCTACCTCGCTGCAGTCGGGTCGTTTAAGTTCAGTGAACCGGAAACTACTGCTCTCTAGGGAACACGGAAGCGCCGCTTGAACCACCTCCAACACAACTAGTTAGACGATTCTGAAGATAAGACGATGCAACCATAGGAGGAATGATCAAGTTCTAGAGTTAGACAACCTCACGAACAAACGAGAAGTAATCAGAGATATGGGCAGAATAATTCGACCAACTGTTAGTAAATCAGCTATGCTTCATGGAATGGTTAGCAAATGATATGGACACTCCAACATGGAATACAAAATATGATACAACCAAAGAATCTAAACGAAAATCTATGGATCCACTAATGATTAAAATCCTTTTAATGGCTAAGTAAGCACGTACTAACAGAGAAATGCAAAACGCTGAGCGGAATGAACATCACCACTCGCGACAGTGGCAAAAGAACTCCATAGTCCGAGCTGTTTAAACCTCATAAATGAAGAACGCATAAAACTGAGAAAAAGTTTAGACATACATAAGAAAGTGTTCAGTGAAACTATTCAACAACAGCCATGTCCAAGCAGATGCGAAACTCGACCAAAGCAAAGAAAACAAATGAGGTTAGAAATACATATTTGATCCTGCGTCACATATTCAATAAAATGATGATCGTTTTGATGCAACGATGGCCCAGTCGAGTACCACTAAGAAATTACTACTATCTCCAGTATTTAAAGCGTACTACAACTGCTTTTCCAGAGAAAAACAACACTACTTCTGCACAAGGTGGTTAAAAAAATACTACTATACAGGTTCAATGAGTCTGCACGGTAGTTCAATAATAGGTGTAATCACTACACAGTCTGATGCCCTTCGCTGCGATGTGTAATGACTTTGAACTTGAGCATAATCCTATTTTTCATAGGACAATCACCGAAATATCGCCATCAACCAGTTCATGATTATACTCATTAATTATAAGATAATCCATTATCAAAGCAGTGAATAAACAAATCCTTTTCAGTCTACAAATATAAAATTTACGGGTTTGCATAGATCAGTTTACATCATGCAATCGGGGTTGAAAATTACATGCAATGTGTCAGCACTAGCTTAGGCATAAACAGCGAATTTTGAAGTAATCGTTACATGTATACTAATCTATAGACACCCACTGTAGATGTAATCGATTATCATATGCAGTAATTCATCATAAAGACCAAAATCGAATTCCTGTTTGTAAGTGCGCGGATCAGCTAAAGTAACAACCAAATTAGGATACTCCGGATTTTTACTGATGATGGCTCTTCAATGTTCAATAATGCGAATTTTATGTCCACCAAATGTCGCACTGCATAAATGCAATTGCACTTATTAAAATTTATAAGAAAAATATCTACAATACATTAACGATATCTCAAAAATTACTGAGCTTAAAATGAAGTCTCTCGATTTTCAAATTTCCTCGGATAACTCCAGCATGAAACAAGTACTGATGATTAGATAGCTGAAATTCATGAGCAGAGATTACTCCCGTTTAAGCACAAACTTTACTCTCAGAAGCATCAAAATTACTACGAAGTGAAATAAAATACTCTTTAATAATTCTTTTGCAACAAGCACGCATTTCATAATCTGACTAAGACATTTTTAAGGGTACAGGAATCCGGATTTAAATACGCCTTTGAAAAGGTTGCTTTCTATTTACAACTCACTGATGCAGCGCTATGCATATTGTACATGAAGACAATCGGCGGCTGATTTAAAGTTAAATGGTCCCTGACATCGGGTACCAGTATTATGAACCATGTATGACTTCCTCATGTGAACCAGTTTATCATCTTGAAGACAAAGAAAGTTTATGTCCACCCTCTGAAATGACGGTTTGCATTAAACATTCATGAGTAGGGGGTCATCGTAGTGCATTTCATTTCATAAAGTTTATGGTGTGGAGGTAATATCCGTTCGAACAGCATCAGCCAAGAGTACCTTATCATTTTAAAGGCAGAATCTACGACAGTTATAAAGCAAACATCGCTTAGTGTTCCGCTTCCTTCCAACAGAATGGTACTGCATTATTAACTTCACAAGGAAAAAAGAGAAGTACCCGGATCAGATCTCGAACCAGGATCCTCTAGGCTCTGAATATGAAGGTTTATCGCTTGAGTAACCCCGGTCTGATCTTAAAAAAATCCCTATGGTACGGTTGCAATCATTGGAGGAAGTAAAGATCTCTGAGTCGTATTCGATCAGACTGGCAGTACGTCCAACACCAGCATTGTTTCAAAGAGATCATCAATTTAAACAAAAATAAAAAAACAATCAAAATGACATTACTTTGTCTACATTGACTCTAGTTTTTGCGGAAGTTTCCACATAATTTACATTCCAACTGGCGGCATGCTGCTGCGCTTGTTGGACAGACACGCGTCGTTCCTGCACCAAATCTGATTTATTTCCAACTAGAAGAACAGGAATATTCGGGTCCGAATTTTTCACTCGAAGTATTTGTTCTCTACAAAAAGTGGTTCGTTAAAATACCATTTAATACATGACAGTGTTTTTCGTACGTTTATAGTCATATTGAATAACAGCAAAAAACACGGTATATTAATAGACAACGCAAAAAGAAATATGGTCAACTGGATGATTGGGTGTTACGGTCTTTTCCAGGGCAGGAGATTGACAGAGTTTCAAAGGGTTTTCATGTTCTCTGCGGTGACTGGTAGGTTTGAAGTCACAAGGCAAGCTTTGTCCCATGTTTAGGCTAAACAGCTACTGGGTGACAGAGGCAACAAGGCTCATTCAATCAGCGAAGAGTTCGCATACTATTTCACGGATGACACTGTCGTAGGATTGGATGATTAATGCCTCTTTGACAAGCGAGTGCAGTCAGTGTCTTTCTTTGACGATGCGGGGAACAACTCTGACCACTGAGGGGATGTCTTTGCTGTGTCGCGTGTTGCATAATCCTGAAGGTGGTTTCACACTGTTCCTTTACTTTGCTGGAAACGATGCTGTTTTCTTCCCGAGTGCTTCGTTATCAAGCTGGATCTTCTTACTCGTGTAATTGCTGGAAATGTCACGTAGGAGAAACAGGGGACATCGCCGCTCACGGAACAAAGATCAATCCATTAAACTGGAGAAGACAGATGATCACGGACGAGCAACAAAGCAAGCACAGCCCTGCTAATGATCAGAATGTAGCGTCATCATCAAAGAAAGACCATGGCTACACAGACGTGTTAAGGAGGCGTTAATGGTTCAGTCCTGTGAGAGTATCAACCGGAACGAAGGATATGAACTTTTCGCGCGCGGATTGGATGAGCCTTGTCGTCCCCCCCCTCGCGCAGCAAGCACATAACCGTCAGCACGGACCAAAAACCTGTCTTCTGGCTCCAAACCTACCAACCGCTGCAAACAACAAGAAAATCTCGGAAACTCTAACAACCTCCTACATTAAAAAAGACTCTTGAGACTCCGGGCCAAAATTTCGGTTAATCATGTAGACTTTTTTGCGTTATGTATTTCAAAACCG